TAATGCAATTAAAATGGGGTCTATTGGAGACTTCATACAGCTGGCGGTGGCATCACAGTTTCCTCTGGCAAGCTGTCCTTCTGATCAGTATAGCACTTGTGCTGCTAGCTTACCACTTTTCATTCCTCAATATTCTTCGGTCTCCTCTTGAACTCTGGCAAATTAATTAATTGATTCCAAATACTGAAACTTTAAAAGAGGCAAGGAACCAGCTGTATGAAGTGTTAAAGACTTGGAGAGGTTTCAGTTGAAGGGCCCGGCAAAGCTGGGCTCCTGTTTGTTTGGTGTTCAGCACTTACCCTGCATTATTGGGAAAAGTCACCACCTCTTCCGGAGCTCTGTTTCTTCATTTGTCACATTATCTGAAGTACTTCACAATGATCCTTGAACTTATCTTTGGAGTTGCGTGTTTTTCCTTGTGAGGGTCAGTGATATTGTAAGAGTCCACAGTTTAGTGAATGAGGCCACAGGACTGAATGGATTCAATCCAGGTCACATGGCGGGTCAGTACAACTGTGTCATGAATAAAATCCAACCCCTTTGAATTGCAATCAGGTCTGTCCTTCCTTGAAGAAACACTTCTTGAGCAAATGCTACTGCAAAATGGAACCTGAAAAAGAAAAACAGGCTATTCTGCATACACTGGATGTGCATAAAAGTGCTGTCTGAGCCATTGCCATGGGTATTTGGATGCCAGATGGTGCAACTGAAACTTTAAACCTGTTGAACTTTGAATAGGATTTCTTTGTAATTGTTTTCTTTTGTCCTTTTGACTGGTGCTGCTATAATAGACAAATTCAAGGAAATGCTACTTGCATTCCAGAAGAAGGCAGCTTGTGTCTCACCTGATTTATAGAAGCACTTATACGCAAATGACCTGTTGAGATTTCATGTGTTGACATGTAGCTCCATGAATTTTAAGACTTAGCCTTTGTGTTCAATAGTTTGTAAGAGATATCTTTCACAGTTGTTGCAGGTTTTTGTAAACCAGCATAACACAATTTTAGTATTTCCTTTTTGGTGTCTTTTATAAATATGTTATTGACTTTTGCATTTGCATTACTGTGATCACTAAAAGTTGTCTTATATTTCTGGGAAAGAGGAAACAGGGAAGAGAGAGAAACGGTTTGCTACTTCTGCTTTTTAGTTAGACCTAAAACCTGTAAATAACAGTGAATGTATTTCTATTTCGCATTTAACAAAACTTTTAAATAAAACATTTAATTTCCTCTGAACATCTGTGTTGTGGCTTAATTTAAAGTGACCTGGAAAAGAATGCAAGATGCAAATGCATACGTATGTTATGCTTTCGAATCTGTTGTGGCCTGAATCCAGTAATGCTCTAGCATTGGGACTTGGCTTCTCTTACTCTGCTTTGCATCTACCTGTGGCACTGAAAATCTGCCTGGAGTGAGGGATCCCCTATCATCCAGAGCGATTAAAAGAAATGGCAATTTGTGGGAGGGCAAATCTCCTCCCCTCCAATAATACTGGCCCACGTAGTTTCAGGTAGGGGAGGTATCCTAATGGGAGCTTACCAAGTTATTCTAAAATTTAATTGCACAGTATTCATAAACTGCATATAGTGTGTAAATCATATTGAACATTACAACTTTCATATGCATTTTACAAATATTTTAATTGATATATTTTAGTTTAGAATGTATTGTGTGCAATCATTAACATGAAGTGAGTGACAGGAATCTAATTTTGTGCTGCTTCATAGGTGGGTTGTATGCATATGAAATTCTTAAACTGTCACCAGTTATAAGAGCATTGGTTATATCTTTAGGTTATTTACAGATTTATATTATGAACATAAATATGTATGTAAGCGATGCTGTATTTCATCAAAATACGGTTAAATTGCAAAACAAGACTATACACTTTTAAAGTTATATACCTATCTTTAGAAAACTGCAACAATAAGACTTCTGTCTTACATTTGCATGCAATGGTGTATGCAATTTTACTGCATACAGATAAGTGTACACATGCTAATCTGATCCATCTGTAGAAAATCAGCTGCTCCTCCAAACAGAGAAAGTACGGTAGAGTGTGCAAGGCTTAAATGCCTGACGGAAAGTAACTTTGTTCTTTATAGCTGGAAATGTGGAAAATTAACAAGCAGCTCTTTCTCTAGGACACACCCTGCAAGTGCCTCTGCCGACTGGGGAGAGCACAGCCGCCCTTTGGAAGCCAGAGCCTTGATTTACGGCCGCAGTGTTGACAGCTCAGTGGAACCCACATGCTGTTTGCAGCACCGCCAAGCTGGGCTATGACCTGCCGACCTCTACCCCTGTGCTCCCCCCTCCTGTCTCTGTGCTGTAATAAAAACCTGTCTTGCAGGCAGGGCTACAATGACTTTGTTGTTCAAAAATGTACCAATTTTTTGAGGGGGGGGGGGAGGTGGAAATTCTTCTCAAAGCAAAAATGAGGAACGTATGAGGAAGTGGGGCTCTGGGAGCAGCTGCTTTTGGTACCGCAGGATTGTTTGTGTTAGAGGTTATTCTCTGCTTGCAGTCAGCTCCTGAATGAATCGTCTTGCTTCTATACAAGTATACCCCCCATGGTGGTATCTTTCTGAACATACACATTTGGGTTCATTTCTCTTCTGTCCATTTCCCATTTCTGTAGTTTTATAAGATTTGTGCCTCCATCATGCACACTTCCCTTTTAACATCTCAATTAGTAAACAAGGGGCAAACATGAAAATGTATATATTTATAAAATCAAGGGAGTTGGTCAGCCATCTCACTCAAATGTGGCCAACCTGTGGCCCTCGGAAGTTGCTTACGAAAATAGATTCAGTTGCTCAAGATACCAGATTCTTGTCTTTGGAATCTCTAACTTATTTTCTGCTTCACACTCTGCCACCACAATTATGCTACAGAAGATGCCAAATGGATATAACTCTCTTTTCGTGTCCGTTTTTCCATGCACATTTGGTCTCCTGCCAATGAACTAGCTGGCTGTCAGACAGCAGCATGATTGTATGGGGAAAAGGGTGTTTGAAGAGGGTTATGTCCTTGTCCCTAGTTCCTTGGCACAATCACACAGCCACATTGACAGGTGTTTGATATAAATTGCACTTCTCTCCTGCCAACTGAGTAATGTATGGTGAAAGAGAGAAGTATGAACTTCGTGTACCTGGAAAGGTGGTATCTCAGTATCTTCTTATTTTGAGACTGGATAAAAGAAGAGCAGGTGAGAATAGTTGGTGGAAGTGTGCACCCATACAGATGTTACCACACTCATTGCCCATATAGCTTTGGGAATCAAAACAATTGCCCATTTTGACAGTCTATCTCTGTTAACAAGTGTTCTCTCACTTCTAGTAGCCTTGAGTTAGTCAGGATTATATTTTTTTAGCATATCCGCTTGACTACAAATATAATAATCATTTGTTTCAGAAAGATTGTCTCCTTTATCCTGTAAAAATTCTAAAAAGTTCTGGCTTACCTTGAACAAGTCAGTGTAATGATCCATACTACCCTATTAACTTCCATCGCAAGTGGGCAGAGTTAAACAAACCATGGTTTATGATGCTGTCTTCATAGGAAAGAGAGAAGCCAGTATGCTAGGTTAGGATGTCATGCTAAACAAGCCACAAAGGGAAAGCTGTTTCTACTTTCAGGAGGATTGCCTTCTGAACAGTAAAGGAGTGTTTATTATTTATTAATTTACTTCATTTATATACTGCTTTCCTCACCCCAGGGGGGGCTCAAAGCAGTTTCCAACATAGTCATGTCAAAATTCAACAACTTACAAAAACATGAAAACCTAACATAAAGCAACAATAAAATAAAACTATCAGTTAAATCAGGGGTCCTCAAACTATGGGCCGGGGGAAAACACACAATAACAACAACAATCCTACCTCATCACCCAAAAGCAGGCCCACACTTCCCACTGAAATACTAATAAGCTTATATTTGTTAAAATTGTTCTTCATTTTAATTATTGCATTGTTTTAAACTGTTTTTTGAACTACAAATAAGATATACACAGGAATTCATTCATGTTTTTCAAATTATAATCCGGTCCTCCAACAGTTTGAGGGACTGTGACCTGGCCCTCTGTTTAAAAAGTTTGAGGACCCCTGAGTTAAATCATAAAGTGTAACAACATTTAAATATTAAATATTTAAAATCACATGATCCAAAAGCATTGTCCAATATCAGATAACAATTGCACGTAATCCCTGTTTGTTCCTTGTATTACTTACTACCCAAATGCTTGGCTCCACAGCCATGTTTTTGCTTTTTTTTTCCCTGAAGGCCAAGAAGGGGTGGGCACTGACCTAATTTTGTTGGGGAAGGAGTTCTGTAGACGAGGGGCCACCACTGAGAAGTTCTTGTGTCTTGTTCCCACCAATCGCGCCTATGAAGGAGGCAGAACTGAGAACAGGATTTATTGTAATATGAAAACAGAGCCCCATTGCCTTTCCATCTCCAATACACTATGTTGTCTAGGTGTTGCTATGGGATCTGACTGGGAAATAGGTCCAAAGAAACAGAAGAGTATGGAAATCTGGCAGGTCAGGAAAATTCATTTGATATTCCTATGTCTTTTCAGTGACTTATTACTACAGTGTTTTGGGATTATTGAGGTCTCCAGTTCAGATTGCTCTTTCAGGCTTCTGAGCTTAATTTCTTTTGGAATTCTCAAACCATTCATTGGAAACGAAATGTTTGTAGTCTTTCTAGTGTACCATTTCTTCCTCCTTTACATAAACAGCAGAGAAATGCTAATGGGAGCACATCGCTTCATGGGAATGAGGTGTTTTGCTATATGCATTATTTCAGTGCTAGTGTTTCATGGTAAATACAAAATACTTTGGCAAATCATACTTGGCCTGCTGTCTTGAGCACATGAGCTTTTATAATTCTTTAACGTTGAGGTGCATAGTATTATGCATGTTGCACTGAAAAGCGTCTGAAAAAGAGAGATTGATTAACTTTTTCTTTTCCTCTTGTACTGTATTCCTTCCCTTCCAGGCTCTTCAGGTGGCACGACAGTTCCTTCTCCAACAAGCAACAGGTCTGACCTCTCCCAGCAGTAATGAAAATAAGCAGCCGGCCGTTCAGGTGAGGGGCAGCAAAAACTTGAGTGTTTCCTTTGAAACTTTTGTAAGAAGTATAATGATAAGAAGGTTCCTACAAAGAATACCTTTGAAAAATTATGCTTTCTTTATGTGCTTTCAAGAAGGACTTTGTATCATATGGATCAACTACTTAACATTTAATTGGTACAGTAAGGAGACAAACTAGTCTCAGTGGCATGGCTATCAATGTAACATCCTTTTGAGCTAATTCTCTGCTGCTGTTCCTACTACACAAATCAGGAACACCATGGAGCTGGAGGCTTACCCTCCATGTTGTCAGTTTCTCATTTGGCCATCTCTGTTGTGAGTGATTGATGTTTCATTCTTGAATGCCGCCTTGGTGGATATTTTTTTCTTTTTCTGAAAAAGCAATAGTATGATACCCACACTTGCGTAGAATTTACATTTAAATAATTTAATTAATGGGAGTTACATTGGGTGACAGAAAATGCCCCCCTCAACCACCACCACCTCTGGATCTAGACCCTGCAGGCCATGTGTCTATTTGGTTTCCACCTCTGGATCTAGACCCTGCAGGCAATGTGTCTATTTGGTTTTTGTATTTTCTCTCATAAACTGAATTAATTTGCACAATCATTAAACCATGGGCTACATATTATCTTTTATGAGGTGAGACTATTCTGTTTCATGACAGGTGGGTGCTTACAGCAGTCATCACAGGCACATGCTACACTGTTGCTGCCACTTCTTTCCCTGCTCTAGTCAATCAAGAAACCTGACTGAAACAATTGAGTATTTTCTAGATAAGTATTTAAAAAGAGAATCAATAGCCACCACATCATAATAATGGACTTTGGATCTGCATGTCACATTTAATGGTTGATATTGTAATGTTAGTTATTTTGCCTATTTATTTATGTTGATAATATCTAATATACATGGAAATCTTGCTATGATGATGTGCTATAACTTGCCTTGGTTAGTCAGCCTTCTACTTAGTACCCTCAAGTTCTTTCCTTTGTCAACAGCTTCTTCATTGTCATGTAAGAATGTATGGATCAGATCCATGTCATTTTTACTTAAATTCATTGATAATTCAGTTTCTTCCTATTTCCAGATTATTTTTTAAAATGTGCATTAATATGTATATGCTTTTATCCTAAAATTAATATCACAGTTTTCAGAGAAACATGGATGTAGAAAAATTGATTTCTGAAATAATTTTGCAGATCAGAAGGATGTGCAAATCATGTCAGTTTTCTTTCAAATGCAGAATGAATGATGTCCTCAAAACTCCCCACTCTCTCCATGCTTTATCCCTTTTCCATTCCCTTGTCTGAAAACTCATTTCAGTCCCGAACTACTTGGCTTTCCCCCTTTAGTCATATTTGTTAGAGAAGTCTGCATAGCTTGCATTCTGAAAATTCATTTTCCCTTATCTCCAGCTAAATGTTCTTGGATGGTAGAAGATCTCTGCTTGTGCCAATTGATGATAGTGAGAGTTATAGTAGACAATTATGGGCTGATGTGGGTCATGTATGTCTTAAGTATAAAGCAGTTCCGTATATATTTACCAGGGTAGTATCCATTATGGGCTCCGCATTGTGCATGATTCTTTTTTACTTGAAGAGGATGAGAACTGTTGGAATGACTAAATTTATATGTGTTTAAATAGAACTGTTTGAGATTTGAGTCTAGCTGGTACCATAAATTCTGCCATTAACTTGTAAAGCTTGGTTTTTATTGGATTGGGAATTGAGGGAGAAATCTTTCTGAGGTGAAAGATCACAGGGTCAGAAAATTCAGTAGATCCTTAGAAATCATAACTGCCTGTGGTTGGAAGGGAAAGCTAGCATGATTCTATTCCTTGACTATCTGGGATGTTAATAAAGGAAACTGGTTGACCTTTTTTCTTTGTGGTAGGATGAGTGACACCAGATTAGTGTCATTTAAACTGTTGTTGTTGTTGTTCATGATGAGCAGCTATGTAACATTTTTATTAAAATATTAAAAATCACACACTTTTCTAAAGAACTTAGGAGAGTGTATAAAACCAACCTGACTATTTTAAAACAGTGTAATATTGTAAATAGTCAAAATTATTTGAAAAAAAATCTAAAAACATAGCAAACAATTTATCTAGTTAAGGTTAACAATTTAACGATTTTATAAGTTGTATGAAAACTGGTGAATATAGTTTAAAATGGTGGTGCAGCAGGTTAAACTGCTGAGCCATTGAACTTGTTGACCAAAAGGTTGGCGATTCGAATCCAGGGAGCAGAGTGAGTTCCCACTGTTAGCCCCAGATTCTGCCAACCTAGCAGTTTGAAAACATGCAAATGTGAGTAGAGGAATAGGTACCACTTCTGTAGGAAGGAAAGGGCGCTCCATGCAGTCAAGCTGACCACCTGACCTTGGAGGTGTCTACAGACAATGCTGGCCCTTCGGCTTAGAAATGAAGATGAGCACCACCTCCCAGATTTGGATACTAGACTTAATGTCAGGAGAAACCTTTACCTTTACTTATGTACTGGCTGGTGCAAAATCAGTTAGCCTGGAAAAGCTGTGGTAAACAATCACATTTTACTTGGTGCCAGAATGACAGTACTGTTGGCACCAGTTGGGCCTCCAATAAGAAAGTATAGTATAAATAGCGTGTCAGTATAGAGAATGCTTACTTCATCATCCTCCCATTTTGCTCTTTCTAATGGGACACATGGGAGAGACCCCTCCAGATCTAGGCAGGAATAGATACGGAGAGACTTGCTTTCAAGCACCGAAGTCTCAAGCCATTTAGGACTCATCATCATTACCACCTTAAATAACACCAGCAGCTAGATTAATTTTTTTTAAGTTTGTCATTGTTTTGTGCCTTCAAGATGTTTCCAACCTATAGTGACCCTAAGGCAAGGCAATAATGTGGTTTCTTAGCAATATTCATTCAGGGGCAGGTTACCTATACATTCCTCTGAGGCTGAGCATGTGAGTAGCCCCAGGTCACCCAGTGAGTTTCCATGACTAAGTGAATATTTGAACCCTGGTTTCAGAGTCCTAGTCCAACATTCAAAGCACTAGACTTTTTCTATATGGATTTTCAATGACCCAGTCAGCAATCTAGCCTCTTCATTGTGTACTAACTGGAAGTTTCAGAGTAATATTCAAAGACAGTCCCATAATTTGCATTACAGTGGATTAAACAAGAAGTTAACTTGTGCATGGACCACATTTCCTATCTGTCACGGCTGGCCCTAAGCACTTTGAATTATGGATTGCATCTGGCTCTCCAGTGATAAAGATAGATCTAAGGTATTCCTAAGATATGCACCTGCTCTTTCAGCAGGAATACCACATCATGCAAGGTAGGTGGCTTACCTAGTTCCCAGACTTGCAAACCATGAATCCACAGAGCCTCCGTCTTAAGGATATTCAGCTTCAATTTATTGACCCTCTTCCAGCACCTGCACAGCCCCAACTGGATCTGATGACAAAGAGGAGTGTCATAAGCATACTGATGGTGGTCAACCCACTAACTTCCTTATAACATCACTGAGTAATTTCATATAGCTATCTTACAGAATAGAAGCAACATGGAATCTTTGTAATGCAAAGTTTAATAACCAAGGAGCTCAACAGGAATCCTTGAGTGCTACTTTCTGTTGTTCCTTCATGGATTCTGTAGTTGGGGGAACAATGAACTTGCTGCAGCAGTAATGAATGTTGGACATGGTCATCCGAAGAGTCCATCCAGAACAGGTTTCTTGAAGGCTGCTTCATTCTAGTCTGCAGATCTAAATTATAGTGGTTGTCAAAAACAAAACTGGAGTCTAGGTGAATCTTAGAAATATACATTATAGCCTTTCTAGCCTTTCTCAAAACTATTAACTTCACCATCATGCTGGTGGAGTGTTCAGAAGGCATAACTGAACAATTAATATTCTGGTTCTTGTGATCATTCAAAATTGCTTTGAAAATCTAGGAAGACATATGCTGATCAAGCATGGGCTGGTCTTCTGGAAAAGCCCCTATTCAGCCACAGATGATACGATGTACAAGAAGTCTTGATTCCATTCACCAGAAGTGGTCGGAAGATCTGAGAAATGAAGTGTTTATTTGCTATCCACAGATGGCAGGGGAAAAAACATAGGCAGGGCTAACCATTGAAAGGTGTGAAAGTGAGAATTCTACCATGTGTTTTAAATTGTGTCCTTAAAAATACTGTAAGAGAGATCCATAAGGAGATCTATTTACTCGCTATCATGGCAAGTTAACATAAGGGTCCCCTGAATAAGAGAGATGGCAAGTTGTCAAGTTTTCAAATGGATTGTTTGTGACTGAATTCATTAGTCATGTTTAGACAGAACAACAAGCAAAGATTGTTGAAAAATCTAATTTTTTTTCTTTAGGAATGTGCTGGCACACACTGTCCAGTAATACTGAGATCTGCTGAATTGTCAAGGAACTAACAAGGAAAAAAGTATTCTCTTTATGTGTAAATTTGTTGCCCTGTTGGTTCTCAGACTCTGATATTAGAGTTTGAAGCTGATACTCCATTCTGGGAAATGGAGCTGGAAATATAAGGAACCTGAAAACTGAACAAGCAAAGAAGAGGAAGGAACCTTCTCATTCATTATTCATCACAAAAGCAATTCTGGCTTCCATGTTGGGCTGATCTTCTTCCTGTTGTGGGTGTAGTAGGCAAAGTATAGCTATAGCTTCTAAAGCACCAAAGAAAACCCTCCGTCACCTTGCTTTCTCTTTTGTTTCCTCCAAGGAGATCTCTTTGCCACTAGTCAACAACTGGTGAATTCAGTTGACTGATGAGCGGAGATATGAATTGCCATGTATTTCATTCCATCACCCAAAAGAATTTAAAAATTTTTAAAATGAGGTTGATTACAAAAAGTGGTTCAGTTTTTTTCTCAGTTCCTTTTTGCATTTTGGGATTTATTTTTTGATATTTTTTTTAAAAAATTGCATTAAAACATGGTATGGGCAAAAAGATTCTCAAATGTGAAAAATCTC